TGAGAAGCAGGCTAAACTATTCAAAAGAGGAAAGCAAAAAGGAGATTGGAATGAAAACTTTCTTTCAGATTTAATTATAGAGCCACTTTTCATAAGACCACCCCTCTGGGCATCTCGTTCTCCTCCTGTGCTTTGTCTGTCTTGTCTACTTAGATTGTAAGCTCTTTAGGACCAGGACAATCTCTTACTATGTAAAAGGTACTGTGCTTTGCCCAATAAGACCCCAATCACTGTTAGGGTATCTAGGCATTACCATAATGCTATATATTATATAATCTTAATTTGTCTTATTTTAACATATGTACTTCCTACAGGAGCAGCTGATGCTGAACTTGGCACATTTTCTTACATTGTCAGCAAATAATAATTCCATCTTTCTCCACTTCCCATCTTTGAAGTTGTCAAGGTTCCTCCCCCACTCTGAACTCTTGGGTACAGATGTGGGGACCTGCATGAAAAACCTCCTAAGCTTATCTTTACCAGCTTAGGTCAAAACTTCCCCAAGGTACAAAATATTCCACCCGTTGTCCTTGGACTGGCCACTACCACCACCAAACTAATATTGGTTACTGGGGAAGAGCTGTTTGGATGCGTCCTTCCCCCCAAAATACTTCCCAAAACCTTGCACCCCACTTTCTGGACAAGGTTTGGTAAAAAGCCTCACCAATTTGCCTAGGTGACTACAGACCCAGACCCTTGGATCTTAAGAACAATGAACAATCCTCCCAACACTTGCACCCCCCCTTTCCTGGGAAATGTCGGATAAAAAGCCTCACCAATTTGCATAGGTGACCACAGACCCAAACCCTTGGATCTGAGAACAATGAAAAAGCATTCAGTTTTCTTACAATAAGACTTTTAATAAAAATAGAAGTAAATAGAAATAAAGAAATCCCCCCTGTAAAATCAGGATGGTAGATATCTTACAGGGTAATTAGATTCAAAAACATAGAGAACCCCTCTAGGCAAAACCTTAAGTTACAAAAAAGATACACAGACAGAAATAGTTATTCTATTCAGCACAATTCTTTTCTCAGCCATTTAAAGAAATCATAATCTAACACATACCTAGCTAGATTACTTACTAAGTTCTAAGACTCCATTCCTGGTCTATCCCCGACAAAGACCAGCATATAGACAGACCCACAGACCCTTTGTTTCTCTCCCTCCTCCCAGCTTTTGAAAGTATCTTGTCTCCTCATTGGTCATTTTGGTCAGGTGCCAGCGAGGTTACCTTGAGCTTCTTAACCCTTTACAGGTGAGAGGAGCTTTCCCCTGGCCAGGAGGGATTTCAAAGGGGTTTACCCTTCCCTTTATATTTATGACAGAAGTACCAGTATTTCCAGCAAAAGAAATTTTCATTATTTCATTCCTGTCTGATTATTTCTACAGCTTTCAAGCTTCAACTATGTTAACTTTACCACATTCCATAAGATAGTAACTTTTGCTGTGTATATTAAAGCTTTCTGGTGCATTGGGAGTATTGTAGCATACACATGTCATGTTCATCAGTCATCAGTGTACAGCCTGCTGCCTTGATGGATGAAGTTTTATCTCCTGAAATTTGTTGTACCTTTGGGGGTTTTTTGTTTCTCTTTTTGTTTTTGTTTCCAATATGAGGAAGAAAGACTGGCTAGTACACTGCCATAAAAGTAGTTTACACATCAATCAATAGTATGTGCGTATTTGGTTCTTAACATCAGTGAAATGTGCAATATGTTATGATGTTCAGGAAAGTATCAAACTGTAGAAAAGTTTGTCCCTAAAAACAGTCCATAAATGCCAATTTTTTGAAAGATTTACAATGCTGTACCAGCAGCTCAACATTGCTCAAGTTTCTTTACAGCTTTTGTGGAGTGATTGTCTCTCTGTATCCAGCTTGGCTTTCTGTGTTTTTTTTTTTTAATTTTTAATGTTGGAAATTTTATTTTTTTTATCCAACATTGATATTTCCCTTTTTATTTTATCATCTCCACTGAGTTTTGTACATATTGCCTCACTTTTTTTATTTTTGCCTGAGACTTAAGTAATTTCACTTTGCTGCATATGCCTGACATATGCAGTAAAAAACAAATTACCATTACACTGTGTGTGTGTGTGTCTGTCTGTCTGTCTAAAATATGTATATATGGCATTGCATTTGCTCCCAAGCTCCTCTATACTTTGCCTCTGGCAGCCTTTTAAAATAGTTCTGTTGTGGATAGAAGATAGACATTTTGGAAAGCCAGCTTTTCAATTAAGCCTCTTTTCTTGATGAAGCTCAGTTCTTAAAGACTTTCAATCTCTCCTGGGCTCAGGCAAAAAAAAAAAAATTAATTGAAAATCCAACTTTTCCTAAAAGCTTACTATTCCTACTAACCAAGGCAAGCAGGTTTAAAAAAAATTAATAAAAATAAATCAGAAATTCACCAGATCTCCAAAGTGTTGTATTTCTAGGCTGTTTTGAATTAGATATAGTGACATTTGATCTTAGACCTAAAGTAGCTGTGTAAGAAGCATCAAGCAGAAAAGACTTTCCAGCTTTAGGCTACTCCTAGCTCCTGAATGTATCATTTAAATCAAAGTTATAGGTACTGGAAAATAAGTAATGAACTAGGAGGAAAATGGTCTTAGCAACTTTCTCGCCATTCTCTCTACGAATTGTGCTTTCTGTATTGTATTTTAATTCATTAACTCTATTCATGCCCCTAAAGTGGCAATAGTTCTAATTGCTGTCTTGCTGGCTTTAACAAGAAGTATTTTCAGTTTCTCTGTAACATGTATGTTTGCAAGATGGTTGATATACTGGCTAAAATCCTGCATTGAAACCAATGGCAAAATTCTCATTGACACCTGTGGGGCAAGGATTTCATCCATTGTATTTTCCAAGTAAAGTGATCTTTTATTACCTAGTTTAACAATCAAAAAGAGATCATGATCATATCTTCTATAGTTTTAAAACTGATTGTAGGATCTCTCTACTGCATTCTCACTATATCAGGGAGACTTCAAAGTACATCTAGCTCATAGTGACACTTAAAACATTCAGAGGCGAAGTCCACACAGGCTATGCTGTTGTACTTTGCCTGCTATGCGCCCAATCCCTCCACCTCATACAAATACCGAGTAAGACTATTTCTGTGAGCAAGGATTTTCAGGACCAGGCCTTTGTAATTATAATAAAAGGTCAAGGAAAAAGGTGAACTGCAGAACAATAAAGAGAGATATTTAATTAGGGCTGGATGAAGATTTTTTTTTAATGAAAACTGTTTTTTGATGGAAAATTGGGTTTTTGACTCAATGAAATTTTTCACAAAAAGTGTCTGCTTTCCACGGAAAATTCCAGGGAGCCCAACTCGTGTATGTAAAAAGGGCCTTGAGGCTGTCACAGATCCTAGTGAGTGCTCCCTCCAGGCCACCTGCTAAGATTGCTGTGAGGGGAATCCAAGCCTCTTTGTGCTCTGGATCCCCTGGGATGTGTTAAGCTTGTAGAGCCTCAGCAGACTGCTGCACTGGTTCCTCCCTTGGCCTCGTTGGCACATGTCTTGGGCACTGACTTTCTGCCTGACTAACTTTAAGTATTTCTTTTTGTCCCTGTATGGTATGTATCTGCTACAGGCCCTGTCAACAATGGTGAATCAACTCATAAAATGGCAAGCTTTCATAAAACAACTTCAAAATATCAATCAGACTCCTCAGAGTCACCCAGAATTCCATTTCCATGAGGCACCACAGTAGCCTTTCCTATTACAATTTTTCACTTTTCAGCCAAAGATTGCTGGTTTGGGACATTAATCGTTAGTTTTCCTTTTTTTTTTTTTGCCAAATGTCAGATTTTTCCACAGGAGCAAAAACCTTCTGACCAGCTTTAGATGTAATACTTGGATGCATGAGAAAAGTCTGTGCTCCTAGCCTAAGAGGAAAAAACCCTGCATCACTGGAAGAGACTCTGGAATTGATTTTAGGAATGAAAAGGAATTTCAAAAGAAGAGACATTAGGGTAAACTGGCTGCATTTACTAGACCTGGGAGAGAGAGGATGTGAGAACTTAACTTTAAGGTAGCAGGTAAAGGGACCAGGTGGGAAGAGGCCCACGGAATGCATCAGCAGCTAATTAAAGGACAAGCTCCTTTAGAAGCCTGAGCAAAGTGCTAGATTTAAAGGGACTATAGACATGGCTAAAGACCTTGATGAGGGCAGAGAGTTTGGTGAACTCTTTGCTACCCGAAAGGGGTCCATTTTGACTGTGTGACTTGGCTGGAATGTGGAGACACTGAAGACCTGCCTAGTTAGGTTGGCAACCTTACAGGGGGCAGCAGGAGCAGGAAAAAGAGATTGCAGTACCACACCATCTGCTAGGGGGCACTCAAGAGTTGCATTTGATCTATCCTAATACATAGCCAAAGTTACTAATTGTTTTCTGTTTGAAAATATTGTATGTCTGAGGAGGCTAAACTAAGTAAATACTGTAATGGATCAGAAACTGGCTGAGACCAAACAGAATAGTGGTAAATGGTCAACTTTGAACATGGTGACAGGTTAACAGTGGGGTACGATGTGATATACAAACCCTGCACAAGGCAAGAAGGGATTAAGGAACAGTTTTGGGCTTTGGCCCTACCACACGTACAAGGTATGCCAATTTTGGAGGAGGAGCCATAAAAACGGGAGATGCTCAGTTCAGAAGGGCATAGAGAAAAGGACGGATCTCTCATTCTCAGCTCTGTGGCGAGCCATAACAACTAACCCGTCAAATTCAGGTCAACAGGCCTGATACATCTGCTCACTTTTAGATATCTTGTAGGGGCAGCAGGCAGCTGCCTTCTTCTGCTTTCTTGACTCTTCTGGGGACAAACAACTGGCCCACTCACCCTTCTTCTGTGTTTGTGGAGGAAGGGTGGAATTGTGGAACAAACTACTTTGCCATATCCCACCTCCATTTTGCTGTAGCTCGAATAAGCCCACTCCACCATATTTAGTTACTTGCTACTTTTATAGCTCTCTGGAACATCTCTCCACAGAATGCGGCCAGATTTTACTATGCTGTTCAGCAGGACCCAAGACTGAGGCGGGAGATGGAAGCCAGGAATGCACATGTTGCGGTAGTTGTCAATGACGTTATAGCACTGGAGTAGCTAAATGAAAGAGGTGAGTCCAGATTGCCTTAACAAAACATCTGACAAATAATACAAATGCAGGCTTGCATGTCTCCTGTAGAGAGTGCGACTGACAGTACCAAGAACCTTCTTTTTTCTTTCATTTCTCATTTTCCCCCAGCTTTTCTCTCGCACCACTCACCAATAAAACAGCTTTCCTGGTTTCAACCTTGCTGAGTTTCCATGATTTGCCTTTGTGAAGTACTGAAGGTTGGTGTAAACACAGTGCCCACAAAGTAACAGTTTTAACCATTCTATGACAATATTGAAATGCCTCTTAAACGCTTTTGATTATATGTTTCAGGGTTACATTAGCATAAATTCTGAAACATATTCTACAGAAACTGACAAAGAAACAACAAGGGTGGCTGGTTAAAAATGGAATGTCATCCCTCTGAAATAGATAAACACAAAGCAAGAGGGAGACTACATTTATTGAAAAATGCAACTGCATCAAAACAGCCCAAATAATGTGAACCCTTCTGTGTCAATCATTTATCCTAGCTAATATATAAAGTAATATACATGACAAAATACTGATTTTACTGGTGAGTGAGTGGGTGATTTTTTGTTGTTGTTCAGTGATGTTACTTTCAGGTGTTTCTAAATAACCCTAGTTGTTAGAATTGCCAAAATTCAGATGAAGAAACATGTTTTGATTCAGTTAATCATCCTTTCCCCTAGGGTCTTCAAAGTAAAGCAACAATTCATCTTTCTTGAAGTGTAGCAAATAGAACCTACAGCCCTTGAAGTCTGTCATAGTGTTAGTTATCAGGAAAATGTGCCATGTCTCATTTATATAAAACTGGAGATGGAGAGGGCCAGTTTAGAGAGGATAGGTATTTTGGAATGCTTTTCAAACTTTGTGCTGCTGAACATCCATTTCAAATGAATGGGGGCATTCATTCAGGAAAATGCAGGAACAGATCTCTGGATGTATAGACTTTAGATCTTGACCAAATAGCTCAAAAGGTATAACTCTTAAACTTTATGCAGACACACCAATCCACAACTTCCATTTAGCATGACAGTATTTTGGGTACAAACTCATCATTATGAACATCGGCCTGAAATCCATATCATTTGGACACAAGACTTAGAGGTATTTTGTGTGTGTGTGTAAATTATTAAAAGTGAATCCCCCCCCATCTCCAATTCTTCGCTAGACCATTTCTTGCTAGCTGTCCCTTTGATTATTTTTATACATTTCCAAAACTTACTGTCCTAGTCTCTTCAACTCTATTTAGCCTTTGAGAACATTTCTCCTTCTTGGGCAGCCTCAATATGATTTCTTTCCTCTCAGGAAGCAGTCAAGCTCCTTCAATGTGCAGCAGAGATCAGGACAGACAAATGGTACCTAAAGGTGCTAGTGTCACTTCTGTAATGTGGGGATAAAGCAAGAAGACATTTTGGGGGGTCTTCCAGTAGCAGCATTAACAGTGACTTGTTCTCACTGGTCTTTTGGCTCCTCTTGAAATTTCATCCATCAGGCAAGATGGAGGAGATGAAGATGGATTGATGGAACAGAAACTGCTAACTTCATGTGGAGCCTTTTCTTCCTCTTTGGGGTACTTATCTCCTGGTTTCCTTTTTGTAATTGGATTGCTTCTAGTAATAGAGACCAAGGAATATTTCATATACTTAAGGAATACATTTTTAGTAATATTCTTGAATTATTCATATGCCTGTTCTATATGCAGTTTCTCTTTAAATTTATATACTATAGAACTTTTCGTTCCAAAGGCTCCTAAAGCACTTTCTTCAATGCGTCCATCTCACAGGTGGAGAGTGACAGTCAAGAAAATCAGTGAAAATAGCATCCTCGCTTCCTTCTAATCCCTACTCAAGAATAGCTTCTGCTGCTATAAGACGTCAGTTAATGCTGGCTGTGCTGCATGATAAATGGGGATAGTTGGTACTTTATATGTTTATAATATAATTCACATTTATATTATGCATATACACTTGTGTATGTGTGTCTCTCCCTTCCCCAGTCTCTACATGTTTTATAAGCACTGATCCTGCAAACAAATGTACATATGAGTATTCCCATTAAGTTCAACTGGAGTAGTGAAAACTACTTACATGCATAAATGTTGGCAGAATTAGGACCTTAGGTTGTAAACTCTTCAGGACAGGAGCCGAGTTTCCTACTTACTGGTATAAAGACTTTATTATGTATTTAACAGCTCTACAAATAAGTAAATAAAGACAAATTCTAGCAGTTAGTCATTGTCCAGAATAGAAGGTGGTACAGAACTCCACCGCCCCATCGGGAGCTCAGAGAAACATAATTCACCCCACCACTGGGCAGTACACAAAATGACTGCCAGATTCACTGTCATTTGGGATGATACACCATGCTTTCTCCAATGTGAAAGGGAGGGGAAGGGAATCGAAGTCTTGCCTACTCCCTGCATTTGAGGGAATGCTGTGAATATGTCTACACTGCAATTAAAAACCCACTGCTAGCTTGAGCCAGCTGGCTTGGGGTAAGGAGCTGTTTAATTGTGGTGTGGATATTCAGGCTCAGGCTGGAGCCTGGACTCTAGGACCGTGCAAGGTGAGAGGGTCCCAGAACTCAGGCTGCTGCCCTGGCCTGAACATCTACACAACAGTTAAACAGCCCCTAACCCCATGAGTCATCTGGCATGGGCCAGCCATGGGTTTTTAATTTCAGTATAGACATACCCTAAGTGCCCAGAGGCACAGGGAGGGAGCATTCCTGTGCTCCTCTGAAAGCAAGTATTGCATATGTGCTAGATCCTATGTTTGTGCTCTGTCCTCCTTGTACTTCGCATAAGGGACTATCACAATCTGCCCCTAGATCATCATCCGTGCAGAAACAGTATGTGAATGGTTGTAATTTTTTCTTTATTTAGCAAAACGGGATGTTTTGAGAAACACATACGTGGATCTGGTTTGTGGATGAGACAAAACACAAGCATCTCCTAGCATTTTTACTAAATTCTTATTTTAAGAATAAGCCATTGTGTGGAAAGATTGTTTCTGTCAGTTAGTGTAATGTATTTGCATAAATAACACATGATAAATGATTGTTTATGTATTTGTTTTCCTCCTCCTCCTATTTGAATCACAAAACTAGCAGGAATTGCAGTGCATCCCTAAATAAAAAAGACCATTATAGAACAGTTAAAGTAATTAGAGTTATTGTTTTGAGTGGCTGTAGACACAGTTGTGAATATTGCATAGATATTCTTAAATAACAATATTAAATTAATGATAGTTTGTTTCCTTATATAATGTTGCGTGTGTTATTCTGTATCTTGTATTATGAATCATGCAGGATGTTTCTCTGGCTTGGAAGGTATACTGAAGTAGCATTTGATAGGTCATGAGCTTAGGAATTCATTTTTACCAAAAACATCTGGTTTACATGCTCACCTTTATGCTAGTTATCACTTGGGGTAAAGAAAACATCATTATCATTGGAACTGTGCTTAGTTATTTGTACAGGAGGCCATGACCTTATTGAAAAACATGAATATTGCCAACTGCAGCAATAGCATACTGCGTTGGAAACAACTGAATGACATTTTCATCTTAAAAAAAGGGAAAATGTTCAAGGAAATAAAAAATTAAAGACTGAATTCCAAATGAATTCTATTGCACAAAACTCGGCGTAAAGGCAAGCGAGGATTTACTTAAATGGCATGCTCTAAAAAGCAAAATAGGCTCATGGAAAGAAATGTTTCTGTTATAGAATCTTTAGATAAATAGTCTTATAGGTCCCTGCTGTGAGAAAAAAGTTTGTAATCTAATTTCTCTGGGGGATGCAATGTTTTAGAATTTATAGCTAAGCAGGAAATGTTGCTCCAACCAAGTACCCAAAATGGTGTCAGGTATTTGATATACAAGGAAGACAATGGGAGAGGTCATGTGAACAATTGCTTACCATTGTGAATAAGGGGTTCAGAGTCTAGGTCTATATTTATAAAAAGTTTGTATAGAAGTTCATAAGGCCATATTTAACTACATACACACAATACATTATGTCAGGGACATAGCGCTGTTCACCAGAATTGTCTCCGTTCTCTACTTTTTTCAGGCTGAATTGTGATTTTGTCTGCAGCCCCCTGCAAGGGGGAAAATGTTGTTGCACAGTCCCTAGAGTAGACCAAGAAGCAATTTGTGATTCTTAGAGTCATAATCAGCCTTCTGGCCTCTCCTGTGCTTTGAGGGGGAAGTAATCTGTGTCAGGCCCAGGCTGTACCAGTCACAGTGTACTTCTATCAATGGGCCAATATGGGCTTGCTGGTGCATTAGTGGGGGATGGTCCCTTGGCTTACCTGCACAGGGAAGAAGTGGGGATGAGTTGTAGCATTTCTGTGGAGCCTGCTGTTCTCTCCATGCTGCAAGATGTGATGTGATGTAGCCAGTGCAATGGAGTTTTGGTGGCCCCCCTTATTTGTTTGTACTGCCAAGCAATCTGGGCCAGGATTTGACCCTGTGTCATACAATATGTTCTACCTCACCCTGTAAATAACTTAAAGTTCTATCAAATACATATTTTTTGGCTTTGGTCCATAGCAGAGGTAACTATGATGGAGAAGAGCTGTGCAGACTGAAAGATCGCAAAGAGCTCTTTCAAGCTGCATTTCACAAGGTTGTTCTGTGCCTTCATGTGCATAAAAACACTGCCATCCATGGATTAAAAGCACCTTTAAATAGCAAATTGTGATTATATGTATCTATATGTGACACACTTGGATTTTATATTTTCAGTAGTTAGGTTCCCCAGGTCACCTTTAATAGAAACAATGTTGCTGTTTTCTCTTTGTCTTCAGAGACATTCAAACTTCACACAGTTGTAGCTCTTTTCAGTTTCTATGATATCCAGTTTTTGGGGTAGGAGTTATTTATCATATTTATCTTTGCAAGCATTTTAGTTCAAACAAATTAATGTAGACTGATATTAATAGATTTACATCAGAACTTTTAGGTCATCCATCCTTACATTTCACTATCTGT